TAATATAAATATATAATAATATAGGGGTATAATACAGTATGAATAATTAATTGTGTATAATTTAATAAATATAGATAATGATAATAATTTATAATTCTTTATATTGGTAAAAATGTATGGGACAAGCATTGTACATATTCAAATCTATTTATTTTGTTTGATTGCAACAGCTGCATTTGATGTTAAATTTCTTTTTCTTTGTCTTTTAAAAGATACACGGCTGTGTGGCATAATTTCCGCTTTGTCTGGACTCGGACGGTTGATTTTATATTTTACTCAAAATAATCCTCGGATTCAATTCGTATACTATTAATTTCCTAACCCAAAAAACATTAAAATAATACAAAATGTTTCATTTTTATTATTTGCCTGACTTTAAATAGGCATTTGGTTAAATGCCTAGTCATTTTATTAAATTACTAGGCATTTGGCTTAGTGTCTATGCGGATAGTGAAATTGCATAAAAATTAAATTCTTTGACCATATTATGCCTGTTTTGACTATATATCTACGACATATTCACTTCTGTTATAAAAAATTCAAATTTCAATTAATTTTCATAGAAGGATATTTTTGAAAAATCATGGATTGTAAACTCTTTTGCTGAGTGAGACAGAAAATCGAAGAACGTCTGAAACCAATATGGCCTATCCATTATGTATTATCTATGATTATGACATTTAGAAACTGATTTTAGTATTACAAGTATTAGTATACGTCATACTTTTTGTTTTTATTCAATTTGTTAGCTTATTCTGTCATGATTATATAACCTAATTTAATATCGAGCATCGTGAACATAACAGAAGTGAAAATCAAACAGCTGATTAATTTTTTCCGGTATGAAGTTGGCAGCGGAGGTTTTACATCATGATGTTGGTACGTGTTTTAATGTGGATTTGAATGATGATACGGTTACAACATCAGTCAGTGACTAGATTACGTCGAGGTCAATTGAAATATTTTTTAGTCAACAGTCAACAGTGTGATTTTGTTGGTGTCGCTTCTATCGGGTGCTGTGACTCCTATTTCAATACTCTTGATTCTTAAATCGCGTCATTCCACTTATTCATCATTCGTGATCGCTATCGTGGATTTTGCGTAATTTTGAGGTCGTCTGTCGTTTAACATTTCGATTTTTATATTTACAAGACATACAAAACCACTTCTAGCCGTGAATTATTCGAAGCTTACAGCTAGTACGACTATGGCTAACGATGAAAAAGGCGTATTTAGCTTGTCCAAATTGGCGTTTCACGCTTGCCGCTCCTCTGAGCAGCAAAAATATTATGATAATAAAGATGTTCCTTTAATTGATCTTAAAATGTGTTGTAAATTGTTGTTAGACATCGTTAAGGTAAATAGTGAAGATGGTCGTTTCAATCCGAATGCCAATAGGATGTATATGTTCAGCAAGGTGAAGTCCATATGCAGAAATCGTGAATTCAAATATTTATGCACAATTGCAGTAAGTAACGGGCATTTCGATTGTCTTCAGTTCGCCCACMACATCGGATGCGAATGGGACAAATTTACGTGTACCCGAGCTGCCACATTTGGGGACTTAAAAAGTCTCCAGTTTGCATATGAGCATGGATGCTCATGGAATGAATTGACGTGCTCAGAAGCTGCACATTCAGGTAAATTGGATTGCCTAATGTATGCWAGGGCCAATAATTGTCCTTGGGACGAGTCGACGTGCGCCGAAGCTGCACATTGTGGACAAATTGATTGTCTCCGGTATGCACATGAACAAGGTTGCCCGTGGAATGAAATTACGTGCATTTACGCTGCTACTTCTGGGAGCTTAGAATGTCTACAGTATGCTTTTAGTCATGGATGCCCTTGGCCGACAGACATATTGTGCTCCTACGCCGCAGAATTTGGACATCTCGACTGTTTAATTTTCGCGCATGATAATGGTTGTTTGTGGAATGAACKAACGTGTGCCATAGCCGCAAAAAATGGACACTTACACGTTCTCAAGTACTTGCATCTCAACGGTTGTCCTTGGGACATATTAACATATGAAATGGCGAAGTACGCTAATCAAACAAGATGCTTAGAATACGCCATCTCAAATGGATGTCCATCGACCAATCCAATCGTTAGTGATGACGATGAGTAGAAATCTACTTAACTTTATTTTCACAAACACTTACGAAAAAAATAAAATACATTCAACAGCATGAAGAAAGAGGCTGAAACGATGGAACTCCCGTTACYGCAGTTTGGTTTGGACAGTGTACAGAAAGATATTTGATCAAGTCCTTGACTGAAATTGGAAACTTTTTTGGATAATTAAATTGTATTTTATATTTAATTAGGTAATTATAATGTTTGTAGATTAAAATATTTCCATTACCAGCTAGTTCTTATTCAATATTTCGTACGCATGTACAAGATATAACWTATAAAAATAAATGTAAAGTAAGAATGTATTGCTAATGTATTTATTTTTATTTTTTTAAGTCCATAATATTATGATGAGTAGTTACTTCTATTATCCTTGATTATTACGACTAAACCCGATTTTGTTCACGGTAGTAGGTATTATTTACATACACGGGCTATGGGCATGCTAACAGGCAACTGTCTCCGCTCCACGATTTTCTTTTACTAGGTATAGGTACTCAGTTCAACTTAAAAACTACCGTAATCGGTGACGACTGGTTTTCGTCGTCTCGCAGTCAGGCAACAACAACTTTGCCTCCAATCCAGTCGATTATTTGTATATTTGCCGTGTAGTATACTAGTATACTACACCCCTGCGCACTATTCGGCGGGGGACAACAACGTTTGAACAGGATACTGAGTGATTTTTTTTATCATAAACCAGTCAATATCTCGGTAAATATTAGGAATTTTAAAATAATATTTTTTTTTTAATTTTCTAGATTTTATTTTACACTGTGTTATGATTTTGATAATTTTAACTGCCTCCCTTATTTGAAAAATCACTATCAACTTTCGATTTTGAAATGACGATACCTATTTCCAATCACGGAAATCTATAAACATATAGAAAAAAATAATTATAACGTTTACAGTATTTAATTTGAGTACTTAATTCGTTTTCGACTTATAAACGTATAAATATTCGTCCAATTTACTGCTACTGGGCAATTTATCAAACACAACAGTAAAAATTAGAAGTAATTATAAAATCTTATCTCAATTTAGCAATATATTTAACGGCCATGATCGATGATAATTTWAAAAAAAATAAAAGGCAATAATAATTAACAAGCAACAAGTAGGTACAATAGTTATATCATGAATTGGGCATTCTTATCCTATCCCCACTTCCACCAGAACATCGAGAGTCGATGAACAACGTTAAGCCTGCAGCTATAAAGTATAAAAGTTACAAATTTTACAATTTACCACCATGATAGTTACATAATGTAGCGGTGGTTACTAATTTATAGTATATGGTCTTATCACTTATTACGTTTGCAGATAATTTAGAAACACAGAGTAATAATAATAAAGTTGAAATAACGCCTTAACGGTTCATAAACAATAAATTGTTTCCGAAAGCATATGATTAATGTAAAAATTTCTCATCATTCAATTATTGAATATTGATTATTATTCATTAAACCTTTAGTCCTTTAATCAACGAATACATGGTAAGTAAATACTAAATTATATGTAATATTTTATTTATAAAGTTAAATCAGTTATTGAAATGTATATTTGTTGATAATGTTTTAATATTTTATTTTGATTAATCAATTTGAATTTAATTACCCAAACAACACTATTATATATGAGAAAATTAGATCATACTTTGCGGACAACTTTATTTAGGTATATTATAATTTATTGGTAAGTTTAATCCAAAATTAATATGTTAATTTTTTTTTTATTATTCAATGATTTATATTATTTATACCTGCATAATAAGTAACCATGGTTAAAGGCAATTACATAGTAGAATTGTTGCAATTAATAAAAATAACGATTTAATATGAACAGATGATAGCTCAATTTTACCAGCAATTAATGGAAATTCATATTGCTTGCTATTAATACAAATCTGATGACTTAATACATTAATATAGAATATAGGAATAAAATATACATATTTCTATATTACATTTTAATCTTAAAACAGACTAAACAATTAATTATGGAAGTATGAATTTTCTTTTATAAATAATAACCACAGATAAAAAAATGTAATTTTACTTCAGTTGCAATAACTAGAATTTGTATAATCAATCAAAAATAACAGTGAACTATAAGAATAAACACTTCAATTTTACTAACAATTATAGCAAATTTATATTGCTTGCTACTAGGTACATATCTGAAGACTATAAATTAATATGGATTAAAAGAATAAAATACATATATTTCTATATTATAATTTAATCTTTAAATAGACTAAGCAATAAATTATGCAAGGATGATTTTTTTTATAAAATAAATAATTGGATGCTTATCATAATTTTTATTTATTTTTTGAAAATTAATTTTGTATTATTTTAAATTTCAGTTGCATTTAGTATATTATTCACTTTTAATTCAAATATCTATAACTAGATTGAATGAACAGATGCAAATTGTTATTTTTGTTTAATCAGTCACATCAGTACACTTCACCTGATATCTTTTTAAGTTAATATCAGAATGAATTAATATTAATATAATTACATTTTTAAATAGACAACAAAATCAATTTTATATGTATAATTATTTTTTTGTTAAAAATTAATCAATTTTATAAATAATTTAATATTTTTTGTTGATTTATTTAGTTACATTCAGATAAAGAAAAACACTGCAACATCTAGACTAACTACTTCAACATTTGTAAAATTTGTTGATGATAACATTGRGAATTTATTTTATATTTTAATAATTAAGTTAGGTTTTAATTCACTATTTTCCATAAGTTTTAAAAATTGGGCTATGGAATTTGTATTAACCTGAATTGGTAAATTTAATATTTTTTTATTTGAATATGTAATTTACATACAATGTTAAAGAATTTCACATCACAAAATATTTACTAAAAATTAACCTATATTCAAAAATAAGTACAAAAATAAATACATTTTTATAAAGTTGCACAATGCTAATATTATAGTACATGATGTACACCTTTAGCCCAAAAAATATGTTGTATTCTTGTGTAGACATTATCAACTATGTTCAATTTTACTATTTTTTTTATGACCTTACCCAAATCCTGCAAACATTTGTTCACACTCGAGTAAAACTGTTATTGATAACTAATATGTAAATTTCTCTTGATAATTTAGTATTAAATATATATCCATTATTTGGTCTATTCACACACAAGTTAACATTTCGATTTAAAATGAAAATTATACATCATAGAAAAATTATATTCTACTCAGTGGTGTGTCCAAAACTTTTTTTGTGGATGGGCCACAAAAATTGAACTAAGAAATATGTATTTAGTATAGTATTTAATATTAATAGATACATGTATTAAAAAATGTTTGTTTTTGTAATTTACATAAGTTATAACTCATCAATTTGACATAGAAATAAAAATTATACAACACATCTTCAAATATAAAACATAAGATAAGTATGTATTACAGTGGCGTCATTTCAGGTTTTGAAAGGGGGGGGGGGGCTAAAATTTTGACCGGCCCATAGGCCATAATTTAAAAAAAAAACCACTCGCTAACAATTACATTTTTATCTCAGTACAAACAGTCTTCTTACATCTTACACAATTATATACCTACATACTAGTGTCTAGTTAGTTATCTGTGATAACTGTGGTTACTTTAGGCATAAATAACACATTTTTTTTGAAAGATAACAATGACTAATTAATACATAGGTATATAAAATATAATATGTAGAGGGATACCCTATATTACCTATTAGTATTTAGCATTGAGTAATTAATATATGCTCAATGCTATTAGCTACTATATGATGACATATTCTAAGCGGAATTTTACCCCAATTTATGTCTTATTTGCATCAAATATGAGTTAATGGTATTAACAAAAAATAAAATAAAACATACAATACTTTATTATATATTTATCATTAATAAAAGTTTTTTAAAAGTTACTTAAATGCTAGGCAGTGACAGGATATCTTCTTGTTTTCATAGATCCAAACATATCAACAGCTTGATTTAAATTTATCAGTGAAGCTGTTTCCTTCTCCACAGCTATCACTAATAAATCACTCAGCCGTTCATCGCCCATTGTCAATCTTAAATGCGTTTTAACAAGCTTAAGCGAAGAAAAGAAACGTTCATTTGAGGCAGTTGAAACGGGTAAAGTTAAGAGGATAGTTATGATTTTTAAAGTTTCTGGAAAAGCATTAGGAATTTTGTTTAAAATTTTGGAAATAGAAAAAATATCGTTGTTACTTTGGTTTGTATTAGAATTTTGTATAAGAGCTTTAGCAGATTGAAATTTAGATTCAAGCATGAGGCTATTAATGTTAAAATGTTGATAGTGTTTAAGGAAAGTTTTTAAAAAAGAACAATTGTGATTAAAGTAATTAGGACTAGAGGAAAGAAAAACGGAGCAAGTTAAAACAATAGCATTATTACAGTCACTCAGTGGCGTATTTTGGGAGGGTGTCCTCCATGTCTTGACACCCCCCAACATTTAAAAAAAAGTCCTAATATATTGGATATTAATGTTGTCACTTATTTTATAGTATACTATTTTTATCAAATGTACAACTTCTTGTCAATTCCTAACATATTATTTGTTAAAAAATTAATTCAATGTCTTTTTACATTATTAAATAATACTAAAAATTTTTTTTTGAGGTTCAATAAATTTTGACAACCCCCGAGAAATCAACCAAAATACACCACTGCAGTCACTGAAGCGTTGATTCAACTCATTTACAGACCTTAAAACAAAAATAAGTGCAAAATTATCACTAACTGCCATACATTACTATGTATTTTAGTTAAAAGTAACTTAAAACAGTTAAAATTATAAAAATATTGATACAGTTGAAAGTTAACAGTCTATAAGTTAAAAGTTAATACTTATTAAATAATGTCTTATAAAGTACAAATTACCTATCAATTGCAGTATAAAACAAATATTTTGGATTGTTTGATTGCAAATTATCATCAGTACCAATGTACCGTTTAGAACTATGTCCCATTGTTGATTGCACAAAAAAGTCATTAAGATTTTTATTCAAAGTCAGTGGTCTTTGATTTCTTCTACTTATTTGCGTGTTAGTAGGAGCCACGAATCATGGTTATATTCTATTTAGCAATGACATGAATGTGATGAATCATTTTTGCGGGCTTGTGGCCCAAAACTGGCACCATATCGACCGGCCCGATAGTAGCCCGCTAATGACAAGGGGGGGGGCAAATGCCCACCTTGCCCCCCCCCCAAATGACGCCACTGATGTATGATTCATAGTGTATGAAGTATTGATTATTCCAAATTGATATCTATATGTATTATATCACCATAACACAGACGTGATTGAGTGATAAATATGAGTAATATGAGAATATGACATATTAATATCGGTAATAAATATAAAAGTATCTATTTCCTAAATATATAGTGTATTATTGTTTTTTTAAATGTTGCCTGTTCTCCGTTGAGTTAGCATCTCAGAGAATTACTAAAATAAATATTTTTCTTCGTCAAAAAAATAAATATGTTAGATGTATGCATTTCTAAGTTCATATAAATATTTTTTTTAAGTTCAGAGAACAACTATTACTGTATCAGAGAATTACAGTTTTATAAAGATAACTATTTGTCTATTATTGCACTACCTATACAAAATACAAGTATATGTCATACCTTATATCAGAGGCGTGACGAAGGACTATATTTGAGGCACGTGCCTCAGTTTGAGGGGTGGTGGGTGTCCTCAAAGATCATCTGATGTGTTAAAAAAAGCATTATTATTTAAATGAATAAATATATTTTATCTTAAAAACATTTTTTAATTTTTTTTTATGATGGGTGGGGTGGGTGGTGGGTCTAACAATATAGCTGTTTCAACCGTCGTAAATACGTAATCGACGGTATTCACAATATTCTAAATTCCTATAAATCCCATTTCTTCACCATTATCATTCAGCTAAAAATAGACGATATTTTCTATATYACCATTATATTATTGTTCTATGATATTACGACAGCGTAGTAATTATATTATTCATTATCGATATAGTTAGCCTATAGGAAAAGTTATAAAAACCATATTCAATAAAAGAAGTAAAAAAAAWAAATAAATAACACACGTAAAATTAAATAAATAATTAACCTATGAGTCAAGTGTTATACCATATCAAATGTAGCAAACAATTATAAATTATAATGTATTGTATAAAATGCTATAAAATATTTACCGTTTGTCACCGTCTCGTCTTTTTTGAAAAATAAAATAAAATATAATGAAAACCGTGTAAACYCAAGAATTGTCGGTCAATGACTAAATACACGAACAAAAATTACATCAAAAGATAGTAATAATCTTTATTGGCATTTAAGTAACGATAGTAAAGATAAATTAAGGTAGTAGAGCGCATATTATCTACGACAAGCGTGCCGTAATTGCAGGCAGACCGCAATCTATGGTAGAGCGCATACGAAAAGATAGCCAGTTAATGCATTGTATATTTGTATCTAAATATCTCTGATTAAAAAGAAAATCGTACTATCCGCCAGAGACCCACTATTGTTTGATATTCGTTGTTGTTCCGGTGCCATGGCCGTCTATGGACATTAATCTGGGCTTGATACTTTGTAATGTCAAATGTATAAACTAACAGTCAACAGGTAATCAATATTCATACGTTTTGTTCAGTACATTTGTACATAATATTTTGGTTTCTCATATCTCATATTTTACAATAAATTCCATTCTCCGGTCGTCTAAATAAATATAAGTAGTTAGTGAAACACACTACGCGGTATATTATGATTTATGGGCAGCGGCGACGTAATATTAATATTATCTTTTTTTTTTTTACGCGCAATGCGGCAATTTTATAAGTTAATAAAATAATATGTATAACCTTATTACAATATTGTATGGTTATTGATCTGGTAACAAAAGTTTCATGTTATTATACAATATACGCGCTAGTTTTATTTAACTCACAAAAAACTTAATTCGACTACTACTCAAACTAGGGGAGGATAAGGGCACCAATACTTCTCCTAAATATAATTTTTATTAACTTGTAGGAGAGGACTGTTGCAGTTGGTATTGCTGATACCGTGTAATTGTTTATTATTATAATTATTATTATTACCACAGATTATACAAAAAAAATAAATATATAAAAAATAATAATATATATATATAAAATTATATTTTATATAATCAGTGTTATTACACTGATAAACTGTGGGTATTTTCGGTTTAATAAAATGTTACAGTAATGTATTACCCACAGATATACAGTATAAAAAAAAAGTATAGTAAAGTTTATAGACTTTATATCTGTGGTATTACCCCATATCACGATTAATGATAGTGGTGGTTGCACCACAGATTATATATAATAAATATATATATATATATACATTATCCATGTCCGTGGTACTATCTACGGCCGGCCTCGTATTAAACTAAATATAAGAACTGTCTAATTGATTGCAATTATTTCGAATGTGAATTAAAGGCGTTCGGTATCTTGGCAATTAGTGAAATCGCCGAGTTTCCGACAAGTATGCCGTATGTGCCCTGCGCTCCTAGCGGACTTTGTGATATTATTAACAAATGTGCAGGCGTTAGACGTGCTTAATATCTTACATTTTAAATTTTCCGTAGGTACTTATCCTTCAGTGTTCAGTTTTACCGATAAACAACTGTTTTCAAGTGTTGTAAAAGTGAATATTATACTTGTTTAGTGTAAGTCAGCAATGCTTTTGGAGATCGAATCGAGGTAAATGACCAAACTAAATCGATCTATGCTTTAATTCAGACTTCACCGTAGCTTAAACGCGTCATTACTCTAGATCAATGAACTAATTTATTTTTACAATTKTCATAACTGGATAATCATCAAAAATATCAAACTTTGTAATCTGTGTCTGAAACTAGTGCTCAAATTCTGCTGCTCTAATATATCTTTACACGAGTAAGTATCGTTTATAGTTGTAAGTAAAAAATACGCCAGCCTAACTAAATTCAGTTGTATATTATTTTGTGTTAGATTTCTAGTGTGTCCAAAAAAACGGCAAATCTGACTCRACCAGTGTGGATTAACAGACGAAGAAGTCTTACCAAACCATATATGTTCATTACATTTTAAGCCGTCAAATTTCACATCCTACATAATAAGGGGCGCAGTCTTAATTCTGATGCCAAACCATTTTTAAGAAAAATCAATGCTGAAATCACAAATATGCCATTAAAAAACATGAAAGGTATTATTCATTTTCTTCTAATAATTATTGTTTATGAGTTGATTGTTGCTATTTACAAAGTTTTTGCAGTAGTTATAGATATAAATATTCTCAGCAATACTGTATAATACATCAATACACTACCTAATAATATTCATCATACGTGGGTACCTAGTAAGTACTAAGACTGTAGCTAGACACTGGCAAGAGAGCTTTTGCTAGGGGCACAATTATAGTTATTGTAATTAAATATGATTAATTACAAAAATAAAAATAAATTATCATTTATTATTATCATATTGAATAAGGGGGTGCATTATAGCCTATAGGTTTTCTGACAGGAGTGTTACTGGTTTTTGTTACGACCTTGGCCAGTACTTATAAAGGCATAATAAAGATGAAATTAATATTTTAATTTTCTTTTTTTTCTATTAAATTCATACACATTCTTTCATTTGTGTAATAAATATGATGATTCAATAGTGAATATTCATTATCAGTATAGATTGATTTTTATTCATAGATTTGTTTCTAACAGTCATACTGAACCAGTTATATCAAACCCTAGTTTAAAAAGAGCATTCTCAAAAATAAAGTAATATTATTGGTTTAAGATAATTACAATAGTATTATGACATGATAAATTTAATAATATGATAGTTTAATATAAAATAATAAATGTGGTCTACCGCACACTTGTTTTCTATCAAATACTTCAATCTAGGYGAAGATGATATTTAAAATTTATCCTAATCAAATTCTATTTCTATTTTAATAATTTAATACTTACCTGAGTCTAGTAATAATTATGACCAACTTTAATCATTTAAGATAATCAGTTACAGTTCTTGCTTTACCCACAWAAACACGTTAAACATAATGTTACYCTACTAAAATTGCGATTTAATTATTCAGTAGGAGAAATGTACTATTATATTTTTAACGAAAAAAGTATCTATATGATTAATACTCCTTCTTGTGTACTTACTCACTATTCAATTACTTAAACAAAATTTTATATAGTTTATGAGAAGCATTCAAACTTTGAACTTATGTTAAAAAAATACATGGAATATCACCATCTTTGCTGCTGTCATATTAACCATAATAATAATGGCATCTGAAAAAAATGATACAGACATTTGAATATTTTTTAAGGGACATAAAATAATATTGTAATACATTATAAATATTTTTCATATTATTTATTTAATACTTCAGAATTTCACATTTAGGTGAAGAAGTATARTCAAATATTATTAACATCTTAACGCTTAAAAACTATTTTCTTCAAATAAGACTTATTTTTTTTCTAAAAAATAATTATTATTTATGATTTGATTGCCCTGAAATACATTAAAACATATATTTTTTTTAATTTTTAAATCAATTCAAAAAATTTTCAGGAAAAAAAACTTGTTTTATATGAAAAATTTAACTAAATCTTACATGTCAAATTTGGTATCAAATTTTCTTATGTAGGTTTAAAATGATGTTGAAAATATGGATGTTTTTAAAACATTCTTAACAGAGTTTTCAGTTTAGGTTWTAAGAACTATCAAAATTTATAGTWTAAGTAATAAGGGTAAATTAACATGTCAACTGAAAAATAAAAATAAATTGTGGAAGTTTTAATTTTTACTTTGTATTTTTGTATAATATTATCATGTATTCCTTTCTTTTTTTTTGATTCATTTAAATATATATTCGATAAATGCTAAATCTTAGTTTTAATATATTATTAGAAATATAAGCTTCATATTGTGCTAAGAATTTTTTTTCCATGCAATGATTAATTATGGAACTCAAATTTTATACATAAATTACAATCATTTTAATGATCTTATTTTGTTTCAWTAGTCAGAACTCGGAAATCATTAAATATGTCTAAAGTTTGTATTCTGTGTCTAAAACCAATGCTCAAAACCAGCTCTAAGATGTCTTTACACAAGTAAGTATTATTGTATAAATACAAAGAAAAATACGCCAGTCTTAACTTTATTCAGTTGTATAATATTTTATATTAGATTTCCAATGTGTCCAAAAAAACGGAAAATCTGGCTCAACCAGTGTGGATTAASGAATGAAGAAGTCTCATCGAACCATAAAATATGTTCATTTCATTTTAAGCCGTCRTATTTCACATCCGGTGTAATAAGGCGCAGGCTTCATTCTGATGCCATACCAACAATTTTTAAAAAAGGCCATGCTAAAAATGTGAAAGGTATTATATTTTTATATTTATTTCTTTTAGTAATTATTGTTGATTAGTTGACCAATTATAACATTGGTGCTACCAATTAAGTTTTTGTATCACCGGTGAATCTTCATAAATAGGTGTAGGTGATTAGCAGTATAACTTAATTCTTTTAAAATAAACTTGTGTCAAACAGTGAGTAGATTGTAAGTGAGCAGTATAATATTTGGTTAGGGYGTATTGCTTGTAACKTTATAACACTATACATTGGTGTAATAATTAGATTTTTATGTAATAGCAAGTACTCTATCATTTTTTTATTAATTGAGAAAACTATTTACAAAACAATCTACAAATAAAAATGAAAATTTAAAAATAATAAYCTCTTGTAAAAATACAGTACAAAATGTATTTAAGAATTTATATTATGTAAATAAAAATGTAATGTATTATGATGTATTGTTTCTGTAGTTCTATAAATGTATCCAGTTAGTACATTTTACAATATTTTTAATAMATACCTACAACACTTATCCATTTTAACAGTAGTAGATTTCCTATATTTCTCAATAGGAATTATTATGGCGTTCTTACGCACAAATTGTACATGGATTCTTTCAAACATGATTTAGTGGATCAATCAGTCTTATTGTCTTCTTCGTCTTACTTTTATTTATATTAAGTATTTATAGAATCACATATTTATGTGTGTTTTAAAAGTTTTTATAACTTTCCTCTTTACTTTAATCTTTTGAATTTATTTCTTCAGTTAGAAAATGTAATGTAATCATAAATGTGATTTGATTTCTTAAAATCTTAATGCAGCAGTTCCCCAACTTTTTTGGATTGCAGAGCCCTTTTGTGAAATAAAGGGTTTATAATATGGTTCCCCTCCCAAAAAAAAATTAAAAACCAGAAAAATTTGTAATACATAAGTCATAAGATATTAGTTATATTAAGATTTAGATATATATGATTTGTACGTATTAAATTAATGGGATGGGTGATAACWTTCTACGATAATGTGGCGCCCCTTTTAAGACAATGCTGCATACAGTTTGTAACCGCTGGTTTAATGATTTAATTTCTTTTTTTTAAATATCATAAATTTATTAAATAGTATCAGTGTTAATATTTCTAGTTTTTTGTAAAAAATCATCTATAAAACGCACTAGGTACATRATATTGAGATTTACAATAGTAGTAAATATCAACTCTTAATAATGTATACATAAGGCGGATCCAGAGTATTATATTTTTTGATTGTGCCCGGCTCTTTTTTGTATTTATTTTTATATTACAAAGGAAATGAGGCTATAAACAAATCACATCAGATTAAATAATTATAAAATAAATAAAATACAAATTACCAAAAGTATTATTATTATT